TCCCCGGATTCGAACCTGCAACCTGTCGGTCTTCAGTCCTGCCAGCACAGGGCTTTAACCCACTGCGCCACCAGGTGCTCGGCCAAGAGAGGTGTGGTTTCCTGTACCAATCCAACATCATCTTGGGAAGGACCTTGGAGGCAGCCATTAATACTACTACTACTAATATTACGAGGGTTATCTGGAAAGTAAGGTTGCAAGGCATGTAGCTCTCCCGGGGAATTTTTTCAGGGGAATTTGGTATCACTGCTGTGTAACAGGAAGCCAGCGGAAGCAAATGAGCAGTGCCAGTCATCAGTAGCCCATCGACTGGCATTGTCGTGAAGGTTAGAGATGCGCGTTCTCATTCTGTTTCCCTCCAAGTGTAACATGCTACCTAAATGTTAAGGGCATAAATGCCACTGCAATTAATAATAATAATAATAATAATAATAATAATAATAATAATAATAAACCTTTATTTATACCCCGCTACCATCTCCCAGAGGACTTTGTGCGGCTTACAAGAGGCCGAGCCCAAATACATCAGTAAAAACAACAACAAAAATACAACAATAAATGAACTCAAAACAAAACAATAAACATTTACAACATACCACGACGCATTAAAATCTATGGCAGGGCCAAATGTAATAATTAATTTTTTTTAAAAATATGCTGGGCATGGCCAGGTGAAAAGGGTAGGTATTTGGAGGGGGATGGGGCATGCAAATATCCTAGATCTCTAGTAAAGTGCATTTGGGGACATATTGCTTGGAGTTTCCTTATTCTGGGAAGGCACGCTGGAACAACTACGTTTTCAAGCTCCTCCTAAAAACTGCCAGCGTTGGGGCATGCCTGATGCCCTTAAGGAGAGAGTTCCAGAGTCGAGGGGCCACCACCGAGAAGGCCCTGTCCCTTGTCCCCCACCAATCGCGCCTGCGATGCAGGTGAGATCGCGAGCAAGGCCTCTCCAGATGATCGAAGAGATCATGTGGGTTCGTAAACAGAGATGCGGTCACGCAGGTAGGCAGGTCCCAAACCGTTTAGGGCTTTGTAGGTAAGCACCTGCACCTTGAATTGGGACCGGAAAATGAACAGCAGCCAATGGAGCTCCTTAAACAGGAGGGTTGACCGCTCCCTGTAAGGAGCACCAGTTAACAACCTCGCCGCCGCCCATTGGACCAATTGAAATTTCCGGGCTGTTTTCAAGGGCAGCCCCACGTAGAGTGCGTTACAGTAATCCAATCTGGAGGTGACTAAGGCATGGACCACCGTGGCTAGATCCACCTTCACGAGGTACGGTCACAGTTGGTGCATGAGTCTTAGTTGTGCAAAGGCCCGGCCACCGCTGACGCCTGAGCTTAAAGTGTAAGTGATGAATCCAGGAGGACACCCAAACTGCGGACCTGTGACTTCAGGGGGAGTGTAACCTTTCAGTTTATAGAGAGGACGTAATGGCAAGACAGTATGCGACAAAATGGGTACGGAATATATTGTGAGACTGTGACAAACCTTCACAGAGCCATCCAAAACAAACGTTGTGGGATGCTGGCGGCAGGAGTCTGTCTCCTTCGTGACAATGTGCATCCGCACACCGCTCATGCAACTCAAGAGTGGTTAACATCATGAGGTTGGGATGTTTAAAGCCACCCCTCTTACAGCCCCGATCTCGCACCCAGTGACTATCATCTGTTCACTAAATTGAAGGAACACCTGGGTGGAAAATACTTTTCTGACAACGACAAGGTGAAAATCGAAGTGATGAACTGGCTGAAAAAGGTGGAGGGAAATTTCTATGGCACAGGCATCAAAAACATGTCCCATGGATGACAAAATATATTGAACTGAATGGTGATTATGTGGAAAAATAATGTAATACCTATGCTACAATCCATGTGAAATTTTATTAAAATACTAGCCGTCCCCTGCCACGTGTTGCTGTGGCCCAGTCTGGTGATCTGGAAAATAAAGTAATCAGAAAGTGTTGGTTTCTAATATATGCAATTTCTTTATTTTTGTGGGTAAACAGTATTTCTTGTTGTTTCGTTGTCAGTGTTGATGTGGAGAGTGTCTGGTTTGCCTACTCTNTGTTTCTGTTAGAAATGTAATATAATGGACTGGTTGCACTGACACGAGAAATAAAATGTAATTATGATGTTATTGTTTATTGTTCGCATTTCCGGTTGTGTTTTGGTTTTCTTTATTGTAATTGTTGTTTGGGCCTGGCCCCATGCTTGAAGGTGGTTTTATCCGCAGTGCATGAAACAAAGTTTGTGTACATTGAATCACCATAAAGAAGGCCAAGCCAACAGGTGCAGTACCGGAGTCAATCTCTGGGGCTTGGCGAGCCGGATGGCCTTTCTCTCCTGGCTGCACAAATAGTTGCAGAGGAAGGAAATCAGCTGGCAAGGGAAGGCATTGAGTTTGGTTTCTCCTCCAGCGGACAGACCCGGAATAGCAAGTTTCATACTGTAGCGTTTGAATGCAGAAAAGCTCAGCAGGGACAAAGGCCAGAGAAATATAAACCTCTGAAAGACACAGCCCGAACGAGAGAGAGCAGCTTGCCTTGGCCTGTCGCTCTAGACCAGGGCTGCCTCTTGGGGCCGCAATAGGTTTTTAGCACCTCACTTTCCCCGTAAGGCATCATTAATGACTAGTTAGGATTGTTGTTGATTCAGACTTAGGGTGACCCTAGGGTGACCCAATCCCAGAGTTTTCTTGGCAAGAGTTATTCAAAGGAGAGAGGTTGAGAGAGTGTGACTTGCCTAAAGCCACCCAGTGGGTTTGTTCTGTCACGCGCTGGACTTGAAATGAATTGCTTTTAAGACAGGATGAGCGACTTGAGTCCAGCGGGAAGCCAGGGGCCCT